ACACACACACACACACACACACACACACACACACACACAGAGGGTCCGGTCAGTTTCTAAAAGTTTTCATTTTGAGGTATTTTTTAAAGAGTAAAAAAAGCTGTGAAGTCATTAAAACAAACAAACAAAAAAAAACTCATTCTGGAGAGGATTTTAAACTTAAATTAGGATTAAAAGCATCAGTTCCGACCTTCAGCAGGTACCGGTCTTGGATCTGCAGGCCGCAGCTCGCGCACTGGTTCTTGGCGGCTCCAGGAGGGGAGCAGAGACAGGAGGCCTCCGCGGGGCTGCACTCCCCGGACTCCTTCTTCACCTCCGGCTCGGACTGCTCCAGGAAAATAAAACCCCCATAAAAAAACACACAAAATTCACACAGTCAGCTGCGTAAAGTTCCTCACATTAGGAGAGTTTACTTCAAGAAGTGTGGCAGAAAAAAGATTTTAAAAATAATTCATCCTTTAAATGTGAATCTCCAAAAGCTTTTGCTTCACTTTTGTGGAAAAAGAAAGAGAAGGACAGAGAAATAAAAAAAAAAGAAAAAAAAAAGGACTTGAACCCAAAAACTGGTCCAGATGTTGATGACTCACCATATTCTGGTTCTGCTCGCTGCCTAATCGGAGAGGAGATCCAGTCCGCGCGCCGCGTTACGCATCTTCGCCACAACCCGAACTACATCCGGTCCAAAATAACYAATTATTACGGTTCCTCCAGCATTTAAACCCTGGCAACAAAAGAAAAAATTTTGATGCAATTAGAAAGAAAAAGAAAAGAAGGGGGGAAGAAAAAAGAAAAAGAAACGACACAGGATCGATCGTTGCTTTTGTGCGCAACGGAAGGCTGGATGTCGCAATCACGAGCGATGAAAAGAAAAGGGTGGCACTGCGTGCGCAATTAGCGGCGGATTGAAACGCCGCGCGCGAGGCAGCCCGAGTGTCAATTTCACCTGTCAATCATCGAGCAGGCAGCCGTGCCACCAAGCTAAGGGAGGAAGGAGCGGCGCGTCCTCATTTCAAAAACTGCATAATCGAAAATCGAAAAAAAAAAAATCTCCAAAGTGAAGAGGCTCAATTGGAGATCGGTCTATTCAGAAGAGACAATGTGCAGAAACTGCTGCTGATCTTCACTCAGAAAGGAGCCTGATTGTCTCCTCATCATGATGGACCCATTTAAACACTCCAAGGCTCCCCCGGGTGATTACAGCTGCATTCACAAAGTGCCAAAAAACGCGCGTTTGGGGGGCAATCTGGACCCCGTGTTGTCCTTCACGTCTCGAAATTAACTCGAATGCAAAGATTATGTTAATTACCAGCTAGGATATAAATATTGGAAGCGGGGGAATGAGACGAGGTGGCCTGTAAAAACAGATACTTCAGACGCAGGGAGGCTCCGAGAAGCAGCGCAGACATCGTTCAGCCGAAGTTCCTCCGGAGCATCACATGAAAAGGGTCCAAATAATCCCATGAAGGGGGGCTCCTTCACGCGCCGTCCTCCTCCTAATCTGCTCCAAACCGACTATAATCCAACACTTTTCCACGGCATGCCTCCCAGAACTGAGTCCCTCCTCCACCCTGTCAGGTCAGACAGGATGTGATGCTGAACATGTGGAGCCCTTCTTCACCCTCCTCTTCATCAGGAAACAAGACTTAGAACGAAACTCTCACTGAGGCGTTCAATTAAGAACCTGTCCTTGGTGCTGATTTAATCATGATAAACTTGTTATTTTTTCCACTAATGATGCAGCTTTGTTTCAGAGTACAACTTTTTTTAAATTTAATTTTAGTTATTGAGACAGATGGAAAAGAAACAGACACTGAGCTGAAATGTTTACAATGTTTGTTCCTGTTATTCAGACAAAATACAACTGAAAGTGGAAGTCAAACAGTTAATTTAACTCTTTAAACTGGAAGTGATTACATTTTGTAATAAATAGTTGAAGTTAAAAATAAATTATCTGAACATTTGCCATTCCTCCTTTTTTTTTGAAAAATAAATTGGAGCACATTGCAAGTTTTTCATTTWCCAAGCGTTGAAGGTGAGGTAAGGTGCTGACGAGGGAAGTCCTTAAGTCAACCATCGTTTGTCCTTTTTGGTTTTAAGAGCTTCGAAGAGCGTTTGAGCTCCATTTTTCCTGACACTAATCATCACAAAGATGCAAATCAGAGGATGCTTCAGAACAAAGGGTCGGTGCTGCAGGCCTGACTTAAAACTTTTCACCTCTGGGTGTTCAACAACCTGCAGCATCGTCTTAATAAGGACATAAAAGAGGAGATGAATGCGTCGTTTACTCTGTTCTGCTCACTATTAAGGGATGTCAGTGACTTTAAAACATGTTTAAGGCTGGACTTACCCAGTTTGGTGCCCTGGGCAAGATTTCAGGTGGTGCCTCCTTTGTGCAGTTTTCTATCACTTCCAATTAACATACATTCACATACCAAATTACATAGTTTTGTCTTTGAAATAATTTTTTATCTTTAGAAGCCAGATTGTCCAGTTAGAACTATGCAACAATATATTTAATTTGAAACAGAATACGAGAAAGACATTTGCTAACAGCAATGAGGAACACCATTACATGTTAATGAGCAGCTGTGGACTGAAGCAGTTCTAGGGGGGGTTTAGAGGTATTTACTCCCCCAGATAATTTTGCAAAAGATCTAATCAAAATTCTGCATTTTCCAGCTATTTGAAGAGCATTTGATTAAATCTTGGGGGATTAATAAAAGAACATAAAATCAATATTTTATGAAGGTAGATCACTGAAAACAAAGCAAATGAGTAACCCACAGAACAAATRACCTTTATAAATTTGAGTAACCTTAATCTATACAGGCAAAATCAGCTCTGATAAAAGTATAGTGTTMTAGTCTGCCACTTGTGGAAACCCCCTAAATCAGGGGTCTGCAACCTTTCTAATCAAAAGAGCCATTTCTGCTACTTGGCTCACTAATAAAATGTGTCCAGAGCCGAAAAACAAGCTACAACTGCAATTATCAACTGGTGGTCCATGGGCCTTTTCGAGGCCTTTTCGGGAACCTTTACAGCCAGTGGAGGTGACATTATAAAACTAAAAAAAATACTGTGAATTTTATRATTTACTATTATTTTTACACATCAGGACYAATYGAAAGACCAMATTCATGTAAACAAGAAAAATACTGTATATAGTTTATAACGAATTTCAGAAAAACTAGAACAACTGAACTATTCAGACATATTTTTTTCTAATTCTTATTATTGTGTAGTCTTCAAATTATTTGAAGGTAATTCTGAAGGATTTGAGAGAAAGATCATAGAAAGAAGTTGGATCACTTAAGAACAGGCTAGCATGTTTTACTTAGTATTGATCCCATATTTGCATACAAATTGATTTCTGTTGTGGGTATAAAGACAAACACAAACAAAACATTTTCTATGTTTGGCCACATTTTCGAAGAGTCACTTCTGAAGGACCAAAGAGCTACATGTGGCCCCAGAGCCACAGGTTGCAGACCCCTGCACTGGACGGCGCCCTCAGCATTTGCCTATACTGCCTCTGCCACGAGTGTATTTCAATCCAGACTTTTCTTTTTCAGATATTCTAGATCTTAACAGACTTGGTGACATTTGACTCGCAACACTTTTACAGATCAAACTTAAATCAAGTTTAAATAATGAAGATCTCTCTAGTCTCAGATCTTTCTCAGTCATTGTTTTTTTGCCAGCTTTTGCATTGTGAAACATTTGGTGGAGTTTGACCTAAACCCAACACCAGGATCTTATCTTGTTTCTTTGGAGCTGCGTGTGAATGTTTGTTTGATTCTCAAGATAAAACGCTGGATCTGATTTACAGCCACAACAATCAGAGGCTGCGATTTGGTGGAAATGGTGGAAAACATGTGATCAAATCAACGTGTTCCGTCCTGATGTGCAAATCTTTCTGTTTGCAGGTAAACCTTTTGCAGGAGTCTCTGCAGAGGAAACGAGTGAAACAAAGAGAGCATGAGACCAAGTGAATGTTTGCATATGGGAGCTTGTTGGAGATGAGTTTGACGTCTCGAGACTCACAGCCAGGCAGCGTCCAACGTTCAACAGGCTGCATCTACTGAGATCAAACCCGTCTCCATTACAGTCCTGCAGCCAAGCTTTCAACAAACAAAGGAAATGGCACATTACCCCATCCCTCTCCCTGAAAGAGAAAAAAAAAACCTCCACTTATTTAACAAATGCACGTTTATTTGAAGTACAGACAAGGAAAAATGAAGGTCTTTTTTTTCAGCGCTTGCACTCCATATGACAGCAATTTGGGAGTATTGTGTATTTTGGCCCGAGCGTGTGGTCTATGATAGATGACGAGAGAAAATCACGAGCCGCTGGCCTGAGCACAGACATGCAAATTGCTTTCAGCTGATTGCCGTATTCTGCTTGATATTTATCAAGTGGATTACAGTACGTGTCATTATTTACAGAACAGGAAGCAGCTGATCAAGTCCACCACCGGAGGGGACAAAAGGAGGGAGCTGACACTTTTTTTTCTTCTGCCAGGTGAAAGTTCAAACTCCTCCAGTGATCAGATCAGAAAAAAAAACTCAAAATGATCAAGAAGAACCCATTTTTACAACGTCAAATCAAAGTTAATAGGATTACTGTGAGTAATTCACACGRAAACCAGTTTAATTTGCCTGAATCCACCTGAATTCGACTCCAACTGTCAGTAATCTGCAGAAAATATCGGCCTCTGCAGTGTCAAAGCCATTTATGTAGGTTTGAGGTGGGGGAAAGGGTCAGGAACAGCAAATTTCAGAGATCAAAGTTGTACATTTTAAAAAGGAAAATCAAATTTACAGGAAACATTGTTTGGCTTCACTTCACAGAAGCTGTTTGGATCAACTTCAGCTTTTAAAATATGTTGCAATTCTGCGGTTTTGCGAGGCGTTCCATGAGTTCTGAAACAAAAATTGGGAAAAAAATCCAGTGTTTATATTTCTAAACCAAATGTACCATTTTCTCTGATTTATAATTTATTAGTTGGTTTAAAT